CTTTTTGAACTGCACTGGGTTCAGTGTGTAGCGGACACGTCAGACTTTGTTACTGTAGCTTTACAAAAAATTTGGGCTCAAATGACTGCAATCTTGAATAAAAAATGGACCTTTGTTTGAGGTGTTCGTATAATTATGAACCACTAAAAATCCGCACTAAGCGCTCAAACACTCCTAAAATTGACATCCATTTTCATTCTTATGGATCATATACCGTTCTCGGTTGTTCTCTTTCGCGTGGTACCAACGGCTTTTTGAGTTTCTGTCAAAAAATCCCGAAATTTCTAAAATTTGGGGTGTTCGTATAATTATGAACCGCAGTTTATAATGATCAAGCTATATTGCTCCCTCCATATCTTATCGAGTTAATTTTATTTTCTGTTTTTCGACTTCATTCGTGAAAAAGTCACAAATCGCTCTCTTCTCTTCTCACTCTCAGACAAATTTCATCGAGTTGCTAACAATAATATTTCGATTTTGGTGTTTTTAATGACACGCCCTAACAGTGGAAAAATAAGTGCAAGAATACCCACGTATCCGCATTATTCAACCTTTTTCTGAAGAGACTTCCAGAAAACTGCTTTTTTTAGGTGCACACTATGCGCGGCAGTCGACGACACCCTTTCGTAAAACCGCAAAGGAAACAACGTGAAATCACTAGAAATGATAGCCGCTCACCAGTCGCTCAGTGGCGTGCATAGTGTGGAATATGCATATTGAGTTGGAAATGACTCGATGATATAAATTTTCATTTTAGGAATTCCTTCAGCCCCGACAATATTATCTACTTACAATGATTTCAATTCTTTGCTCACTACACACACTTCCATTGTACGCAACGAATCATGGGTTGATTCCAAAATCGGGCATCACTCACTCTTCAACTTCCTGTACGTGTAAATGGTTGGAAAGCTTTACTTGTTAGTCACCTAATTGCTGTATTTCTGCTAGCAGCAGTGTTTCCTTGCAAAAGGCGTAAGCATACACTGACAAATATACGGGTACATATTCTGCATTATTGTGAGCTTAGAGGTTGTTTATTCTTGTATGGCTGGCATGCCGCCAGTACAAAAGTGATTATTTTGAAATTGATAAAGAGGTTAAAAGCATAGAGCGTCTAGGCAAAGTTATGGGTATTGAGATCTCACAGCATTGCAGTAATAAACCCCCAAAAAATCTATTAGTGAAATATGGAGCGACAAAGCGCACCTGGGGTGCTTAAATACACTCTAAAACTCTTCCAAAAACCTGCTTCAATCCACACACCCCGCTCATTCTACTGGGCGAACGAGGACTTGAAGACCTTCGAAAAAAAGCTCATCGGCTTTTTTATGCGCTGGAAAGCCCTGATATGGTTTCAGCATGACAGAAAGGCTCCAAAAAGATGAAAACAGAAGAGAAAATTTGCGGGACACTGCCTCTAATCATAGGTGGCCAGCTAGTAATTAAGGACAGTTTTACTGGGCGCAAACTGTCACCTATTTAGTTACTGTTAGAGCTGCAACACATAATTGAAGTATAAATTATGATCTGTCTAGAATTTTCTCAAGTAAAAAGGTCAAAGTGTTTCTTTAATAGATGTGCTTGTTGCAGTAGTAGAACATATTAAGGTCAGATATGCTTACCTAAATTTACACTATTGGTTCATCAGTCATGGTCCGTTACATATAATGAGAGCGACGCAGGTACTTTTTGGTTTCGTGTGGCTCAAAGTTTCGTAAGCTCCATAGCTTCGTTTAGCCAACAGAGAAATGAACAATTTAAACGATGCTGAAAAGATGAAGTTTTCGGAGCTGATCGAACGCATTCCGTAGATAGAATGCCTGAATCATCTGTAAAAAACGATTTCAACAATATTTTAAAGTTATGTGGACTCGGACGAGGTTCTGAGAGCCCATTGTGAAAGATGTAAATATTTCCAACACACCTTTGGCGAAGGAAAATAACTTTGTTCGTCTATGCTACCGTATGGCGCTCAGCGTAAATCGAAATAAATGTTTGCTCATCCTCCACATGAAGCTGTCATTCTGTGCGCATGCACACATAAAGGTGTGTTTTTTATATTGAAAAGTGGGTTGTAAAGTAAGCACTATTATGGCACAACCACTATAAACTACAAAGATCGAGAGCCGGTTGCCTGCTAGCTATCTATAAAAGTAAAAAGAATTGTATGTACAGTATTAGGTTGTCCAAAAGCAAACCCCTTTTTCAAATAAGTTTACTGCTTCTGTTATCGTGGACCTTGTGAGTGCTGTTCTACAGTGCTGGCCATAGCTATAAAGCCACCCTAAAAGTCACCGTAATTTGCTCTCTCTTGCTCATATTTGTCCGAAAAACCACTGTTCTGTGCGCAAACTAACGTCATACCATTGACCAGAACGGCTCCTGATTTCATGGATTTTGGCCAGAGAAAAATTGAAAATTTGAAAAAACGGGTTTCGAAGGCTGGTCACAGCTATAAAGCCACCTCTCCATTTCAATCAGTACTGCGTTTTTTAACCTCAAACATTTTGTACATATAGAACATCAAAACATAAAACATTTTTTACACTTGGAAGGGGCCGCCTTTCAAAAAGAAGATTCGTACTGCATTTTTTGCTCTAAAATGCATAATAGGTCACATCATTTGCAAAAAACTGCTTTTTCACTGAATTTTAAAGCACTTGTTTGGCTTGGATGAAGGCCCTATGCTTTGCCGAGCCTCTGCAATGAATACGGCGAAAAGCGCTTGAGTTAACATTGCGTAGTCGCTGATATTGATAAACGAGCTCCAACCTCACCTCCAGGTAGTTTTTTAACCGCAGAAACTGAGTTCTAATGCCCGAAAAGCTCTGTCGCGTGCTCAGCACATCGCTTGTATAACGACAGACTCGTGTGCATAGCCTGTACGTCATCGCAACTCTGAGTACTCTGGTTCCGCTTTGGACGCCTTTTTTCCAAAAATGAGTGGTGCACTCCGTCTGATCATGATCCACTCTAACCACCTCGATCGCGGAAAACCGCTCAAAAGTTCAAAATTCTTCTATTCCTGACAGTTTAGTAAGATTTGAATTGATGAGAAGTTCAAAGCAGTGAAATTTTAAGTCTTGTGAGATACACTGCGCACAACCGAACTGCAGACAAAAGCGTTCTAACTTCATTGCGGCAAATAGCTTTGCAAAAAAAACCTGGCGGCTTCTGCATGAGTACGTCGCCATGCAGACAAGGTGTCAACTTCCAACCAAAAGTTTTCGCATGTCAGAAATCTAGTTTTGCGCCTCAGAAGCGCGCTTACACCTCGGTAAGATGAGGCTCGTTTACCAAGATTAGCGACTACGCAATGTTGAGTGCAGCACTTTTCACCTCGTTCACTGCAAAGGCTAAGCAAATCCTAGGACATTCATCCGAGTCAAACAAGTGCTTCAAAATTTAGTGAAAAAGCAGTTTTTTTTTGCAAATAATGTGAGTTATTATGCAATTTAGAGCAAAAAATGCAGTACGAATCTTCTTTTTAAAAGGCGACTCCTTTCAAGTCTAAAAATGTTTCATATTTTGATGTTGTATATGTGCAAAAAATTTGAGATTCAAAAAACTTAGTACTGATTGAAAATGAGAGGTGGCTTTATAGCTGTGACCAGCTTTCGGAACCCATTTTTTCAAATTTCTAAAGTTTTCTCCGGCCAAAATCCATAAAATTGGGAGCCGTGTTGGTCAACGGTATGACGTTAGTGCGCACAAAATAGTGGTTTTTCAGACAATTATGAGCAAGAGAGAGCAAATTACGGTGATGTTTAGGGTGGCTTTATAGCTATGGCCAGCACTGTATAAAGCAAAGCAAGCTCTACGAGTTTACTCCCAAAAATTTAAGTCGTAATCCAGGTACTGAGGTCAGAAACTAAAATTTCCCAAGCACCTCAAAAATTTGATTCCTTTCCAGGAAATGCTCAAAGACCCCCACTTGGTCATCATATATGTAGTAGACAGACACATAGTAGTATTCATAGAGACAGGCACTGGATTTTTTCGCGTTTCAAAAGCAGGTAACATAAATAGCTCAAAAATGCGAAATTTCATTTTTTCGCTTTTTATGTTGAGCTTAATATTATCCGGTCATCAGAGCACGTAATACTTACTTAGGCTTGCAGTATACAATCACCTAAATTGGAAAAGCGAAGCAAAGTTTGCCATTTTTAGAGTGCCTTTTTTTCTCGATCTCTTTGCGCAAGAACAAGTAGGCAAATGCTATGAATACCACTATACTTAACAGCAAAATCATATTCAAGCAACAATCTTCTCGATTTTCACTTGAAACTTTACTTAAATTTGGGAGGATTTTTGATGGTCATTTTGTAGAGCTTGCTTTGCTCTATTGAACACTGCCCTAGATCTGTTAGAAAAACAAAAAACAGTTTGATTTCTTTGGAGATTTTACTTTTGGGACAACCTAAGACAATCGTGATAATTGAGCCCACACCTTGACCTTTTTCAAGAGTTGTGGTGACATAACATTTTGACGTATGAAAGTAAGCAATGCCTAGTTTCGAGTGGGTGCTAGTCTCTCTTCAATAAAAAAGTTTCATACCCGAATTTGTCTGTCATCAAGCAAAGTTCAGAAAAACACAATAGCTTGCTACAGAAACTTTCATTCAGGAAGGCAAACAAGATGGTTACAAGGGAATGGTCAGAATTCGAAGTGGCTCTAAACAAACTGCATACTATTGGGTGCAGCATAGATCGCTGACTTTAGTCTGTCTTCCATACTTGCTGAACGAATTTCTGGATGAAGTTATAGGCCATTACATTGAAGAGAAGTTGTGTTGTAAAAATTGCCATTAGGCCATAAAGTGCCTGAGCATATCCACATTGCGTGAACTTTATTTCAGAATTTGTGCTCATTTTATTATACATTGCACTTCGAAGTGTTTTGAGGTAGAAAATGTTAAACAGATGCCAGACAAGTGCGTACATTAGCCATTGCTTTAAAATGTGAAAAAAGTGTCGATATGGTTTAACGGTGCGATCATGAATCATAAACATAAATATCAAAAACATAAAAGCAGACGTTTCTAATATTGAACACTCTCACTTTTTCTGTTATTTTCTATTATATTTTGTGTCCGGGGGCAAAGGTAAGCGATCGCCCTCCAAACGCAAGAAGATTGGGATGGACTGGAGGTAGGTTTGCCTAATCTTGTTTGTTGAATAAAAATTTGCCATAGGATACTTTTGACATCAATACTAGCGCTAATCAAAGGCACAGTGGCTCTGAAAGGCATGCCAGATGACTTTATTGAACCAAATGAAGACGATTTCAACAGAGAGTACGTAGATGTGGGTGCATGATTTCTCGCAGTAGCTAGAAAACAAAGTCAGCTTCAAACAACTTGCTGTAGATAATTTCACTCACGCCCTTCGATTCTTCTCCATATACAGCGAAACAGGAGGAATGTCTGAAAAGCGTGAAATTCTTGCCCGCAGGATTAACGGCAAGAACTCCATCCATGAATTGTTGGTGTTTCTAAATTGTGTATTTAGGAAGATCTTCTCTGTCAGCATATTATCCGCTTCTTCTATTGGCAAATGGAACAATTAACGCACGCCAGCGAAAAGGTCAGTTCCACTTCAATAAGATTGTGTTTCTTGACTTTTGTAAGCAGGGCTTGTAGTACTCTTCAATTCAACCAGGTTGTCGGCTGGAAGGCAACCGCTCGCATTTGCGACGCAGTCTGCGTCTCTCTCGCGCCCGTGCTCTCTAATTATTCCCTGACCTTCGAAGCTCCGTCTTCCATTCGCCAATTCTGTTGAATCAAAGCATAATTTTACAGTGCATTTAAGATGCGATACATTTCGTGGAAGAAGGTGCTTCCCATCAATTTGGTAGCTCGCAAGCAATGTAGATTGATGGGCGGCATGCATCAACATCCCCGCTGGAAACCAAGGGCCGCATGCACTAACATTTCCGCTGGGGAGGGGATCGCAGCTTCAGAAGAAAGCTTCATATCCTAAAGCTCCGGATATCTGGATTTCACGCTGTCTACCTGTCCGTAAGTACTCCCACCATCCTTCACTATGAACATATTGAGCAGAAGCGAGAAGCTGTACAAGCCGCATTTCCCAGCTTTTTGTAGGATCCCCTGATGATCCCTGGGGGACGAACATCTATTCTTCAAAGTCATTTTTCTTTCTCCGAAGTCAACGAAAACCTTCCAAAGTTATACTGAACATCTAACACAACAGTGCTAAGCATGTTGCTGATGAGAACAAATGAATTTTTGAAAAATCGAATTTTTCGGTATACCCCAAATCTCGACCTGTGGATCATCGAAAATATCATGACTTCAAAACATCATTTGTTCTTATCAGCAACATGCTTAGCACTGTTGGGTTAGATAATATGCACAACTTTGGAAGTTTTTCGTTAACTTCGGAGAAAGAAAAATGACTTCAAAGAAAAGCGCCGGGGATCATTAGGGATCATACAAAAGCTGGAAAATGCGATTTGTACAGGTTTTCGCTCCTGTTCAACATGTTCATAGTGGAGGATAGTAGGAATACTTACGGATAGGTACTCAACGTGAAATCCAAGTATCTGGAGTTTTGAAATATGAAGCTTTCTTTTGAGCTGCGATCCCCTCCCCGCGGCCATGTTAGTGCATGCGGCCCCAAAACGCAGTTTGTACAAGACGCATAATGATCCCCAGTGGCGCACCGTCTTTTTTTTCAAGGTCATTTTCCCTCTTTTAATATGAGGTTGAACCGAAAGTTCTTTCCCCCCATTTTCAAAAATTCATAACTTCTGATTTTTTCAACCAATTTGAATGCATTTATTTTTGTATGAAAGAGCAACTCATGCTATTCATAATGACATCTTAGTGCTTGCTAATGATCATCTGTTGCATAGATAGGAGCGATAGAAGAAAATTAGTCAAAATTTGAATTTTCTGTGTAGGGTCATAAAAAATAGGAAACTTGCAAGAAAAATCGGAGCAGTCAGTATTGTGGGTTCTTTTACCAGCTCTTTCTAATGGTGCAAAGTTTGCGTCGATTGAGCGTCTCTATCAAAAGTTATGATTTTCGAGCAAGCAATACAAAAGGGCGAATTTGATTTATTTTGGCATTTTTCTGGGAAATCATAACTTTTGATAGAGACGCTCAATCGACGCAAACTTTGCACCATTAGAAAGAGCTGGTAAAAGAACCCACAATACTGGCTGCTCCGGTTTTTCTTGCAAGCTTCCGATTTTTTATGAACCTACACTGAAAATTCAAATTTTGACTAATTTTCTTCTATCGCTCCTATCTATGCAACAAATGATCATTAGCAAGCAGCTAAGATGTCATTATGAATAGCATGAGTTGCTCTTTCATACAAAAATAAATGCATCCAAATTGGTTGAAAAAATCAGAAGTTATGAATTTTTGAAAATGGGGGGAAAGAACTTTCGGTTCAACCTAATAATAAAAACACTCCAAGTTGAACAAAACTAGAAAAGCTAAACCGACAGTGCTAAGTAGCAAATGGTCAAAAGATTAATCCAGCCATTCCAAGTAAGTTGTAGATCATCCGACTCGCCTTGAAACGTTGATTTCAAATATATTACTATCTCCAAACGAATCTGACGGATTTATGAGCGTTCAAACATGAAAAATCATTTGAACTTTAACGATTATGGTTCGTCGAAAGGCAGCTTGATGGCGCGGATTTAAAGGGTCTGGGTACTCTGATTACAAGAAAAAAAGCACACTCACCACAAATATGAATAAATGATTTTGAAACGTATTTCGTAGAACATGTGTTACAAAACACCTGACAAATCGCCATCCAAACGCCCATGAAGCCGGATAGTCGTTTGGCAGATAACAGACAGATCTGAGATCAGCGTTTCAAAAAGTTGGGGTTGATCGAAAATCTCAATATTTTAATGACCTGTGTTCTTACCAGAAACTTGTTTAGCAGCATTGAGTTGAATTATTGCAGAAGTCTGGAATGTTTTCATTGACTTTGAAGGAAAAAACGACTTTAAGAAAAGACGGTCAGAGATTATCAGGCATTATAGAGAAATATAAGGCCTGTACAATTGTCGCTTTCGTTCAATAAGTCTATCATGACTTATAATAAGCGGCTAAGGATGTTTACGTTTTTGTGTGTGTGTGTCTGTCTGTCTGTCCGTTACGTTCGTAGAGCGTGTTCCAGCCAACATCCTGAGCCCAAATTTTGCAAAGCGCTCGCTACCAGCATGAAAGATCACTATACAAAAATATGAGCGGATCCGTCGAGTGGATCCGTTAAAAATTGCGCTTCAAACGGATCCACTTGGCTTCTGGCCAGCAAATTTGGGTCCGTAGTACTACTTTTTGCAGAGTTATGGATATATTTGACTAAAGTTAATGTGCAAGCCATGAACGTTAGCCTAAAGAAGTGATGAAAAGTCTACTACTTTACAAAAACAGCGCCAAAAAGCAGGCTGTGTAAACGGTCAATTTTTCAAGATTTTACCTGATCATTTGAGAAGATTTTTGCACAGAGATGTAGCCCACGATGTTTACTGTCCTTATGGCGACTAAGAAGCCATAAAAATTCCAAAAAAATTCAAATTTGCTCTGTTTTTCGGGAGAGGTTTTCACGTATGCGAAAATACCGATCTCACGCGAAAAACCTCTAGGAATGAGTAGTTGTTTACAAATCATTCGTAATAGCCTACACAGCGCGGTGAGTTTCAATGCAATCATTATGCGGGAATGAGTAGGGCATAGATAAAGTAGGACCAGTGCGAGCCTCTGCGAAGCAGAGGTGACGCACTGGTAGTAAAATATAGTAAAAACACGGATAGTCAGACTGCTTGTGAATTGAAGCCACAAAATATGAAGCTTTCACTCCGCACGTATATCTGACTGCATGCGGAACTAGCTTTAGATCAAGCCCACGACGATATAAGTGACAATGCAGAGGTAATACTAAAGTTGGAGTCTGTTGAAACGTGATATACAATGCTTCACTTTCGAAAAAAATTGTGCACGTTAACAAGATCTTTATACGAGAGAAAATGCAGTGAAAGAAAGGACCGTCTCCTGTATCATCATCGTGGTTTAATTACATTTGGCAAGACTATTCGCTTAGCGCGATAGAGATGCTACAAATCCAAAAAAAACGAAGATTCTGATGTTTTTTGCTAAAGAGATGCTGTGCTGATTCCACGTAAGTAAATGTATACTAAGTACCAACCTCTTAAACTACGAATCTGAAATCTCAACCCTCTACAATCTCTAGTTTGGAGAAATATTGGTTTTAGCATGAAACAATTAAAGGGAGCTAGATCCGATATTTCTTGGAAATCAGAGCTTGTAGAGAGCTGAAAATTCGTAGCTGTAGTTTGAAAACGTTTCGTATACATTTTCTCATATGGGAAGAAAGAGCAGCACAATCTCATTCGCAAAAACATGAAAATATACGTTTTATCGATTTCTATAATAGCTTGTGAAGAAATATTAGGTTGAACCGAAAGTTCGTTCGCACCATTTTCAAAGAATCATAACTTCTTTCCGCCACGAAGATTTTGCGCAGTTTACTTTTATCTTACTTTTAACTTTTATTAGAAAGCGCAAAGCATGTAGTCTTCAATAGTTTCCTGGCGACTTTGCAGCATGTTCAGATTGCAGAGATAAAAATAAAAGAACGAGAACATCCGAAATTCGGAATTTTTGAGAAAAAATTCTAGAAATCCAGAAACTGTGCGATAAAATCCAGAAAAGCTATTATCCTAATTTTTCTTATATTTGATTACTAACTGAGTTGAGTTTGTGCTGATCGAGCTCTTCTTTTGAAAGTTATGATTTTTTGAAAAAAAATGCCGAAAAATAAATTTCTTAGGAATTCTCAGAAAAGTGATTTTTCGGAATTTTTTTCAAAAAATCATAACTTTTGAAAGAAGAGCTCGATCAGCACAAACTCAACTCTAGTAATCAAATATAAGAAAAATTATGATAGTGGCTTTTCTGGATTTTATCGCACAGTTTCTGGATTTCTAGATTTTTTCTCAAAAATTCCAAATTTCGGATTTCTCGTTCTTTCATTTTTATCTCTGCAATCTTAACATGCTGCAAAGTCGCCAGAGAACTACTGGAAACTACATGCATTACGCTTTCAAACAAAATTTGATTTGCGCAAAATCGCCGCGAAGGAAAGAAGCTATGATTTTTTCAAAATGGTGCGAACGAACTTTCGGTTCAACCTAATATATATTGATATATATCAATCTTTAGTGTAAAGTGTATATGCGCGCGTGAATGTATAAGCTCCTGCAAGACGAAGGCGGTCGATTCGATGTGCAACGTGACTGCGACACGGCTGCGTCACAGCCGCGTCACAGCCACGTCGCACATCGAACAGACCGCCTTCGTCCTACAGAAGCTTATACCGGTAAGCTATCGTCAATGCGTTGACCGCGGACTGTTTAAACGCTGCGGACCACGCGCGGCGCGTGGATAGTCGCGAGAGCATGACTTGCACAACGGCGAAGTTGTACTAAGACAAGCGTTTTGCTTTGCGGTGCGTGCTCTGCAGTGTTGTCCAGTCCGTGTGATCATCGAATCAATTATACTTTGAGAGGAAAATAATCTTTTCAAACTTCCTGGTCCTTCTCTTGGTTTTTGGTTTTGAAGCTGAGGTATGTTGGAGCTGACGCGATGAAAAGTCATCTTGTGGAGCTTCTCTGCTCTTTTAACTCGGTCCATTGAAAGATTTATCGCTGGAGAAATCCAAAAATGGGAATTTTTGAGAAGCCTATATATTATCGATATAAATGAAGCAAAGCCTTCCACACAAATTAGGTGTGGTAAGCTTCTGGTGCTGTACAACCGAGCTCTTAAAGCAAAAACATACTATGCGCAATTTCAGTTGTGAACAGCTCAGCTTAGGTGCATTCTAAACGCACAGAATAAAAAACATTTCATCGATCTAGCAGAGTTATACAGCTGTGCAGTAGTCTGCAGTGTTGGACTCGAAGACTTTAGACAGTTTGCCAAATCGCATGATGTGCCTGATACTTGATTAAATGTCAGGCACACACCATGCAAATCACCCAATTCTCGTTGCAGAAAAGAATTTTGAAGAAAAAATTGCTGAGAGGACACTGCAGCAAAGCATGCCGCTTCAATCAGCTTAGTTATTCTGCATCCACGATTAGTCCGAGGCGCTGCTTTCGAGTACTTATAAGGGAGGGATGCATTAGTTGGCGATTGGAGATGGGATGTACAGAGTGTCCCAAAAAGATGTGCACGCTGTTTGATCGTTGATAACTCTCCTGCTTTCATGTCTTTTGCCGAGCTTGAGGTACCATTTTGTAGAGCGAGGATAAACTTAGATTTATAGTATGGAGCGAAGCATCAATCACTCTTCGTTACTATAGAATTACGGTATGAACTTTCAGCATATAGCGTCACTGTGAAATAAGCCTTTTTATGAAATAATTCCGAAAAAATCTAAAGATTTGTATAGCAAGGTTTTCAGGCGTGCTGATTTCACTACATGACTTTCCACCAGGTTTCGAGCTTTCTTTGTGCACATCTTTTGGGACACCCTTTATATGAGTAAACGCGTCTTCGAACGCTGATTCCAAATCTGCTTTTTCTTTTTGCAGAATAGGTTTCTGAAAGAAGTTATGAGCATTTGAATTTCCAAATTTGCCAATCACTGAGTGGTTCAAAATCAACGAAAAGCTCTGAAACAATACCTATGCAATTTCCACCGCCTTTGTTCCTTCCCTGCAAACAATATACGATACAAAACTAATTTTCCACTTTCCGGTGTTTTCGTATAGCTTTTCGCCAATTTTAGGCCACTTAGACCTCAGCAACTTTGGACATTCAAACGCTCATAACTTCTTTCGAAAACTCGAGCAAAAAAGGAAACCAGATTTGGAACCAGCGTTTAAAGGGGCGTCTATTGATGTACATCTCATTTTCGATAGCCGTGTAATATTGGTGTCCTTCCCTTGTTAGCGTGGAAAGTCATTTTCATGACGAAAGGCGAATTTGCGATGATGCGTACTCTGGAGCTCCGTTTCGAGCTTTGTTTTTGAGGCACCCACATTCATGACAGTCACCTGCACCAATTCTACATTAATAGCGACTTTCTTTCCTTGAATTTGCTTTTTGCACGGAATTGGGCTTTTACTTAGATGAGGACCCAGTTCTCATACAGCACCACGATACTGTGCAAGTTAAAGTTGAGCATGTTTAGGTCAGAAATGTCTACCTAAAGTTACACGAATGGTCCGTCAAACATGGTCCATTGCATATAATGCGAGTGACACAGGTATTTCTCGCACTCGAGGTGGCTCAAACTTTTGTAAGATCCACAGCTTCGTTTAGCGCAACAGGATGACCGCCACTTTCAACGATGCTGAAAAACAGAGCCTCGCAAATCTGGTAGCCCTTATCTCGGTGAACGAATTGCTTGGACTCATTTGTGAAGAACAATTTTATTACCATTTCAGAGTTATGTGGATTCGGACCCGATTCTCAAAGCCCATCGTGAATATTGTGAAGCTTTTCTAGGTAATTATGGGGAACTGAAGTAACTAAGATAGCATTCTTGGCCGAAACTGAAAGTTCTAAAAGTCTCCAATTGACATTGATTATCAGTTGACTATAAGGTTTTCAGCGTAAATTGGAATATTGCACATCTCTTCGCATGGAGTTGTCACGAAATTATGTAACACTGGTTCAAAATTTTCCGTGCGCATAAACCTCGGGCAGAGTTTACACGATTTAATCGTCGCGATTCAATCGCTACAAGACAAGTGTTACGAGTTCATTGCATGCCGATCTTGAATTTCGATTGTGATAGCTAGTCACGATTAGTCGTGTTGGAAAACTATCAGAACCGAAATGCAAGAAGATTAGTCTGAAACGATATTGTTACGATTGTCTTGCAGCGACCAATCGGGGCGATGAAATCGCGTGAACTCTGCCCAAGGCCATTCTTCAAAGATACATCTGGGTGGCGGCCATGCGATCTATAAGCGAGCACCGGAAAAATAGATCGCTTTTTTCTTGCGGTCCAGTAGATAGAAAGTATTGGCCATTCTTTAGACGAACGCTCAAAAAACAATTGCTGTTTTTTCACAGATTAGTTGCGCCGCAGTAGTCGACTTTTCGCGAGAACATGCAAAATTGTTGGGGGCCGCACGGTCATTTGTGAAGAAGCGCACAGTCCATTGGTACCTTCCACTGAGATATTACCCCAAATTTGGGTCTTAAACAGCAATGACACCTTTGCCATTCGGAATGCTACCTCTGTACGGCGTAGACTCGAAAACTGAGAAGTGTCAGAGCGCTTGTTGAAGTTTTGGCTAAATTTTGGCTGACCGCTCGCAAGAAAGTTCAGGTTTGCGGTCCGCCTGCCTCGGCGATTTTCTGGCAAGGGAACGATACTTCCATGGCGTTTTGAGATGAAACGTATACCATCACACTCGCCATGGAACGCTTTTCAAATCTGACTACTGTTCCTGCCAATCGTTTCTTTAAAAGAACTTATGAAGGATTTTCGCGTCAATGGTCGCCTAGGAAAAATTGTCGAGGATGCCTAACTTTTGGAAAGAAGCTTTCTTTTTCAAAAAGAAGCTTAATTAAGACAGTGCAAAACAGAAAAACACAAAAGAACTCGAACCTAAACCTTCATCAAATTGTGAGGTTATCGCACTACAAACTACACCACATCTTAGCGGCGAATTTGGCATTCCGACCATATTTCCCTTAGCGCAAAACCTCCATAACTTTTTTCAGAGAAACGATTAGCAAAAAAGAAAGTTAGATTTAGAATCAGAGCTCCAAGAAGGGTGTAATAGTATACATTTCATTCAAAAAGGTCTCGGATACCAGGTATCGTTCGCTTGTGAGTGAATGTGTTATTTGTATCAAACGAGCTATGTACCCTTTAACAACAGGCTTGGCGGCTGGAAGGCGGGGCTTCGTGTTTTAGAAAGGGTTTGCTTTTGGGACAAAGTAATACCTCATGATAATTTCTACTCCTATAATTTCTACTCCTATAATTAAGCCTAGTTAATGATCAGAGAGCACGCGCGCGGGAGAGACGCAGACTGCGCAGAGGGCGCGAGTGGCCTTAAGTAGGTCACAACGCAACGCCTTCCAGCCGCCAAGCTAGTTGAATAAAAGGTTTTGTACCGAGAGCAAATTGCCTGCTAGTTTTATAGGAGTAGAAATTATCATGAAGTATTACTTTGTCCCAAAAGCAAAACCTTTCTAAAATGTTGCACTACTTTTTTTTCTAGCAGACTTTGAGCACTGTTCGATAGATCAAAGCACGCTTTACGAAATTACCCCAAAAATCCACTTAAGTCGTAATCTAGATAAAGTTTGGAGCGAAAATCTAAAATTTCCAAAGTATTCTTTGAATCGTATCTCCTTCCACGAAATCCTCAGGGATCTCCAATATAGGGCAAGTAGTACTCATAAATATTAGGTCTCAAAAGTTTTGTCCATTTTTCAACCTATCATAAAAATACGTGGAACAAAAATAGGGAAACGCTCTAAGCACTAATCTTTTCCTTCTCTTTCAACTATCATGCTTCCATGGCGATTAATCGTTTGTTCATTGAGATAAACGTCGAAATTTCGAACCCATGGTTTTTACTATGTCCAAGTTTGTCAATTTTTTCACAATCATTATTTTTGACTTTTGAAAAAGCTTTGGCAACATTAGATAGAGCAAACAAAGGGCAAAATAACGCAATTTTGCGGCGTCTATAGCCAGCTTTGAAAATTTTTTGAAATTATTTTTCTGATGCTATCAAATTCCACTTTTGGTGATGCCAAAAGCCAGAGATCATGAAACGGCGCACAACTAAGATGTTATTCGATGCAGCTTTTCCTCCTCTTTCCAGTGAGTGTATTTCTTCTCCAATTTGCGGGGTCCTTGGCAATAAAATTTTCATATCTTGAATTTGACCCCACCCCAGCGTGTACACGTAAAATGCAAAATCTTATATTTCGAAGCGGTAAACGCTCATTTGCTTCGTAAAAATAGTGAGTAATCGTAATCGGTTTTTGAAAGCTTCAAAATCCGATGATTTGTTAGTGTTCGAAGCGTTTCTGTATTTTAGAATTTCGCAAAAGTGAAGACTTTTGAAGAAATTATCTTCAAAAATATAGAAACGCCAGCTAAATATGCCAAATAATTGCACTGCATTGCCCTTTGCTTACTCTATCTGAAAAGGTCTTCCAAAAGTTGAAAATGAAGATTGTGAAAAATTGTCAAACTTGGGCATAGTAAAAACCATGGGTTCGAAATTTCGACGTTTATCTCAGTGAATAAAAGATTAATTGGCATGTAGGCACGATAGTTAGAAAGAGAAGGAAAAGATGCGTCGGTTAGTGCTTAGAGTGTTTCCTTATCTTTGTTCCACGTATATTTATGATAGGTTGAAAAAAGGACAAAACTTTTGGGACAACCTAATACATTTGCTGGATTTCTGCGGCTGAAAAATAAAACATAAATAGAACGAAAATGCAAAATTTTCACATTTTCGTTATTTTTTCACGTCTTGATCTTGTCCGATGGAGCATATGCAAGGGTATTTTTAGGCTATACTCACTAAGGCTTGCAATGTGTGGGAGGGAGAACGGGGGAGGGATGGGGGGGGGGGAGGAGGGGACAGAGCTTGGCAATACGAAGCATCTTCTTATTCTTGATTTCTTAAAGCGAAAACGATTTCGCAATTGCATTTATGAATACACTATAGATATTAGCAGCAAAAAAAAAACAAAAAAGCACTTACAGGAAATGAAATTTTCGATTTTCCCCCTAAACTTTCTCTGGATGTTTTGAGTGGATTTTTGAATTTTGTAGAGCTTGCTTTGCTCTATCAACACACTGCCTTAAGGTCTGCTAGGAAAAGAATACAATTTGATCTATTCAAATGAGAGGTTTTTGGACACCTTCAAACATACTTGAAACCACACCCTGACCATTTTAAAAAGTGCTGACATTTGATAATAAACTGTCACATCAACGATGCCTAGTTTCGAATAGGCGCCAGAAACTATTCCTACTGTAATGGGATTAAGAAAAGCTCAGAAAACTCAATAATTTGCTACAGAAGCTGTATCCAGGAAGACAAAAAATGGCCTACAAGGGAAATCAGAAGTCGAAGTGGCCGATCCCAAGAAACTGCACACCGTCGGGTGCAGCACAGAACCCTGACTTTAATCTGCCTTCCTTATCTACTGAACGCCTTTTTGGATGAAGTTATGGGCCATTACATTGCAAGAAAATCGTGCTGTGTAAGGTGCCATTAGGCCATGCAGAGCTATGCTAAGCTTGATGCTGGACCAAAACATACAGCTTTTGCATAGCCTATACCCAAATTTTAGCCAAAAAAACAACAACGTGCCTTGTTTCGCAAATTGTATCCGCGTTTTTCTTGCAGTAAGTCTGCTCATAACTTCACCTACAAAGTCTTCAGCAAATGAGGGAAACAGATTTGGATTTAGCATCTTAGGATCTTGTTTAGATTCGACATGACCCTTATTGGCTAAGTGAGTCTATTATTAAGCAAATTTTACGGTTGTTGCTCGGGAAACGATGGGAACACTAAGAAACGGAGCATTCGAAAACCTTTCCAAGAACTTTGAACCTGTCCTTCACGCTGCAACATATAACAATTTTATTCCTTTATACATGCATGGTATTCTGCTATGTCTGCTCAAAATCTGACGACTTCAAGCTAATTTTATTTTCAAGGTACTTGAAGGCCAGTCTGGCGATAAAAACTTATATCATAAAAACCTCACGACATGCACCCCTCCTCCCTCCCTTCCCACCCTACAGTAAATAGTTTCGATGAGAATTTGCAGCAAGAGGCAAAGCAACCAACGGACCATCAATCACCATCGATCTTGTGGCTTTGCCATCAGTGTTAAGTGATTTAGAGCTAGGCGGATGATCAAAGCTTTGGTTGAGGACAGTTGGCCGCTAGAAACAGGTGTTCACGGAAATGAAAGCTAAGTGCCCTTTGACAGTAGCGAAGAAACTTCTATTAGGTTGTCAAGAAAACAATGTCCGTTTTTATTTGCTTGCTTTAACAAAGCAACCATACTCAACCCAACAAAGGGTAAGGGGTACTGTTCGATAGAGCAAAGCAAGCTCTACAAGATGGCACTCATATCTTTGAACTCAAAATCTAAAGATTTCCAAGTGCCCAAAAAATCGAAAAAAATCAGATCTTCGTCCAAATAATTTCTACGGACCTCCCACTCGCTCACATCAATACTATCGATATCTGATATCCATGTGTGCGATTGCCGTAATTTTTCCTTGACTAGAAACTAAGAAAACGAAAATTTCCCTGATTTTCTCAAAGCAATGCTGAGCCGTTTTTGCATATGTAGTTCTATACTACAAGCCTAGGTAAGCATAACTGTAGGTTTTCAGCCCATTCCAAGCGGTAGTTTCGAAAAATAACGAATTCGGATTTTTTTTCGGATTCGGATAACAGAATTTCTTGGGATAAAGATGTCTTAATATTGAAAAGAAGTCAACGATTTATTAGGTTGAAGTTAATGAATTTCGTTTTTCATAACAAAGCAATAAGCGAATCAAATGTATATATACCTAAGGGTATCATTCGATAAAACAAAGAAAGCTTGACAAGAGGACTTTTGAACATTGGCAGAAATTATGATTTAGACAAATTAAAATCAAAACATAGGAACAACTCATGGTGCCCAAAACCGAATTTTCGTCTCAAGAAATCTACAAACCTCTCACTTGTTTCTGCATATAAGAGACCCTGGCACTTGTCCATAGGTATGTATAAATGCCAAAATTATTTCCATGCTTAATAATTAAAAAAAATTTGAAAGGCGGAAATTGTAAAGCTTCACCCGCGGCAACAGTCTCCTCCCATATATGCCGTTGTATACTACAAACGAAAATTTAGTCATGGAATTTGGACCTTGAATATCTCCAGTTTTTGGGTAATATTAATTTTAGTTGGTATACCGCGAAAAAAGCGACATTCCTTTCTTTCCAACCTATTAATTATTTTGGCTATAAGAATTGACAAATTAGTAACATGGGCTATGCTGCTCAAGATATAGTCCCAATATTCCCCCATCAAAGTATTGGAATGCATCCTAGCAAAAGAGATTTCATTCACTTACTGTTTATAAAGACTCAAAACTTTAGCGCATGAAAATGGATTTATAGACATCTCCATCAACAAAAATCATTTGAATTCCTCAAAAAACCTCAGAACTTCTGATCACCTTAGGCACGATTTTTGCAACCAAACAGTGTTAATAAAAGCATATATTAGGTCGTCTCAAAAGTATTTTCGCTTTTTTTGAACAAGCGCAACAATCCGCAGAACGAAGGTTAAAGCTCTTGGTAGAATTCGATGCAGTTTTTTATTCTCTTTCAAGTGGTCATCTTTATTTAGCAAATGAAACAATGTGCTATCAGAAAATTGCGATAAACTGCGACCCATGCTTTTCACCAAGGTCAAGTTCCACTATTTTTTTTTAATTCTCATACTGATCCCGAAGAAGTAAAAGTAACCAGCGGATAGAGCAAAGAAAGTAGGATACAAAACAGTTTCAATCTCCATCCCAGGATTCCCCATAACTTTTTTACAGTATTTTGAACAACACCGTCGAATTTTAGAAGTTCCATAACAGACGCAGACTCGTCAAACTTCACTAAACTCTCGATTCCTGATACTTTTGAAGTGGATTAGGATTTAGCACTAATTTTACGAAACAACTGACAAGGGAATAGTCAGAAGTCGAAGTGGCCAATCCATGCAAGCTACATACCATTCGATGCAGCATACAATACTTCAAATCTGTCTTCCATATCTGCAGAGCGCCTTTGTAGGCGAGTTATGAGCAGCTTTACTGCGAAAAAACCGTATACAAAAATTGCGAATCTAGGCACATTGTTGCTCTTTCAGCTCACCTCTAGGTACGGGTCATATGAAGTGACTTAGCTGCATGTTTTAGTCTACTACTGAGCAGAGAATGACTTTGTACGGCCAAGTTTGCACTTTACACGCACAATTCCTTGGCAAAATAATGACATACGGCTTATAATTTCGTCCACAAAAGCGCTCTGCAGATGAGGAAGACAGACTTAGAGTCAGCGTTTTATGCTGCATCTAATGGCATGCAGCTTGTATGGATTGGCCACTTCGACTTCTGTCCATTCCCTTGTGAGCATTCCGGGGTTCGAAATATCTAATTTCTAATTTCTCGCGTACAACCTGGGGTTCCTTGAAAAACATGAATTTTGTCGATTTTATCCTTCAACACTTCTCGAATCAGGGACAAAAAACATGACTAAGAAAGAGGAGAAAGTGCTGCGTCGAATAACACCCGAGTTGCTTGCCGGCTGTTGTTCTATGAGGTTTAAGTTGACCAAATATGTAATTTGATAGCATCGAAAAACTAATTTTAAAAAATTTTCAAAATAAGCTATGGAAAGGACAAAAATTGTATTGCATCCTACTTTGTTTGCTTTATCGATAGGTCACTTGGACTTTTTCGGGAAATCAGTACAAGAATTTAGAAAAATAGCTGAACCTGACCTTGGTAAAAAGCATGAGTTGCAGTTTGTAGCAATTTTCTGAGAGCTCGTTGCATTATCTGCATTATAGAGATGGCCATCAGAAAGAGCATAAAAAACGGCATCAAATGCTACCAAGAGCTCCTGTATACCTTTGTTCTGCGGACTTTGGCGCTTGTTCAAAAAAAGCGAAAATACTTTTGGGACGACCTAATATTTCCGCTATTTGGTAAGAGATTGTAAGAGATTGCTTGTACCATGATCGTGGGCACTTAGAGCTTTTCACAAGAGCGAACTCTTTGCCTTTCATCACACCCTGTGCAAACACACTTTTTATTACAGCTTTATCCCTCTTTCACATATGCATAATATTAGTGAGTTGATTCAACTTCACATACATAAATACATTAAAACTCATCTACACTGTTTACTCCGAATAAAAAAAACCGAGCATTTCTCTTTAATGTAGGATCTGTAGAATGAAACAAAATATGAAAGGTACAATTATTCAATCATGAGTCTCTAGGAACTCAAGCAAAATCTACACATATGACCCGACAACTGCATGAAGTAGAGTTATTACACTGGGAGAAAGGAACTCGGTAACTTGTTTTGTTGGAATCAGATTATAGAAAGCATCACATTTTGAGGAACCGCTTGATATCAATCACAGAAGGTTAAAGAAAGTAGCTCAAAGAGACTTCCTTGAGATGAAGTAGACGAAAATATAGTCGTCCTCCCCCCAGTAGACACTCAATGGACAAATTTGAATTTGAGCAGGAGCAAACGGCTAGCAGCATCAGAGCGCGGCAGACGCAGCCCCGGTCAAAGTGTGCGCATATGCTGTTTTTCCATTTCCCTTCGTGTTTTTTTTGTGTTACTCTTATTGCGATTTATCATATCAGATTCGAGATTTTGTTGCCGTTTGATCGTTGTTTCATGCTCTCATTATTGCTCGCCTTATATTTTTTCCAGGTAAAGCTGGAAATACGACGCAGTGAAGACTAGGGGCTAGGAATTCACTTTTTCACAGAGAAGGAAGCGCTAAACATACAACCAAGTGCTTACGTGCAATCAAGGATATACATATGGCACGGATATTGCCATACAGAACAAACTCGGATGCATCATCCAAAAAACTCACCTATACTTCTTGAAAAGATTCAGGTCTGAAAAAAAAAGTTTGGAGAGCACACTCAACTGAGAAATTGATTCACAATTAACGAAGACAATGCTTGTGCATGAGTTTTTTTTACTGGAAAAGGCGATACGCGACATTCCGCCAGAAAATCTTTAACTGCGTCGTATTCCCAGCTTTACCTGAAAAAATGTAAGGCAAACGATAATAACAGCATGAAACAAGGATCACCAGTAACAAAATCTCGAATCTGATATGATACATTGCCGCAATAAGAGTAACAGCAAAGAAACACGAAGTAAAATGGAGAAACAGCATATGCGTACACTTTGACTGGGGCGGCGTCTGCCGCGCTCTGACGCGAGGCATTTGCTCCTGCTCAAATTCAAATTCGTCCACTGAGTGTCTAGTGGGGGGAGGACGACTATAGCAGCACCGGCATAAGATACTGCAACGAAACTGTACATCATTTTCTAGCCAGTTGCAGGCGAAAGTCTAGCTTCAGGCCAACAGCTAAGCTTCAACAGTCAAATAGAATCTCGATGACTTCTGTGTGGTGGAGCTTCTGTTGAATATTATGCACATCTGAAAGCAGAGCAAGGTCCCTCTCCCACCTGCTTGTTGTGATGGCGCTCCAACTAAAAGAAAACTAAAAGTTTGGAAAAGAAATTTGATAAAAATTGTATTTTTGATAAATTTAACTTGAAAGATTATTCGAAGACTGTTGGCATTGTAGAATTGGGCTTTCTCGAACGGCTGTAATGGGCTTTCTACGAACGCAAGGGATACTGTAAGCATACGGTAGGAAAAGAATGAAAAAAGCTCAATAGGAAGCTAATTTCTGTCAAGTTGACAGAATATAAGCAATTCATTGCACGCAGGGACTGCACGCCATTGCGTCTAATCAAGATAGTACACATTTGGAGGAGAGAGCAGACGACTGGAGGGATGAAAAAGCGTTCAGTGTGAAAGACGCCGACAGTGTCCATATTGGCGCCCTATCACTGCGCGCGATGACTCGCTCAAAATTATAATTTTGCTAGTTCTAATTTGCTAATTCTCCATAAATGTGACGCTGGGCAGCTACCGTATGCCTTATCTAAGTTCAGCGATACTGTAAACGATCAGGAAAAAGATTACCATAAGTGATTTTAGTACTGTAGAAGTTTGTTTCAGTCTCGAAAGCGTCTGTCTATCGTAGTGATAGCCCAGAATGGCCATTCCAGATCGTTTTTTGAAGCCTGAGTCCAAATCCAGCATCTTGTATCTAGCTGCCTTGCGACGCATGCCTAAAATCAAAGCTGCTAGATTGATCCAAAAACGTTTAGATAACTTACCCATAGCTTAATCTGCCCACCCTGTCTGATGAACACCATAAACAGCAAATATCACACTGATCCCAGTCCAGAGTCACGTCCGGGGCTCGCAGAAGAGTGGAAGGGATATGATGGTAGAGACGCGTCTGCGGTACCGTACCACCAGAACGGAAGCTGTAGGACACGACGATCGACGACCGTAAGCCGATTGAAGACGTTAACTCAGGCGGCGATGTCATCGTTGGCTCAGACTTTGATGAAGAGAAGAGCCAGTAAGTGAGCGGTTGAGTATGTTCCCAGGCTAGGACATACCTGGAAGGCAAAAAGGTACTGGGCCCAAACGTCAGTGAGTAGAAACTTAGGCGCATTCGGGCATCTAACGCAAAGCTTTACTAGCCTGCTTACCTGTCCTCTTTCTTAGCTATCCCACAACGCGCAGGAGAAAATGGCTGATAGCGAGGTTTAACAGCAACATGGCCGCTAGTTCTACAAAAAATAAAACATGCATATTTTCCAACAAGAAGCTTGATAAGATGCACAGACCTCTTTTGCTTCAAGAATGCTACCAGCACAAAAGCGAAGCCTAACGATGCCAGTATGGCAATGATCGCCAGTAACAACATGGTCGCAGGCACAAGATTTTGGCCCAGCTGCATTAGGATCGAAGTCGAAAAGGCAGAGAGTTCTTCTGGCATCTGCAATATTCAAATTTTTACTAACAACTGAGAAAAATACGTATTTATTGTGGGAATAATCACAACAGGGGTGAGTATTGATCGACCCAAACTTGGGATCATAGTGGGGGACTAATCAAGTTCATTCTTAATGATGCATACAAAAGAGCGAATGTTTTGCAGGTGCGATGTGAGAGTAAGAACTAATTAGGTATGAAGTTCCAAAGCAAATCGAATCTCACATTTCTATTAGTCAAGTTACTCTAAAATCACTTTTCAACATTGAATAGAGTCAAATCAAAGGTAACTGCAATTCCGTAGAATTTTCTGAAGTATATGGTGCAATTGCGGTGGTGGCAACATTTGATTGTGAATTTGGATAAATGCTCCCTAGACCATTTCACACTGAGAAATTGACATTACGTTATCTTAAGTTCACATGTATTTCTTATGAGATCACATTGGTACGATCGCACATGTTTAATGACATTTGAATAAATTAATAAAATAAAACCACTAGCATGTGTCAACCCGTGACTGCTGCCAGCACACGCGAGCCACCATATGAAATGCTGGAATTGGTAGATTGCAGAAAAGCAAAGAACAATGATTTTTACCAAATAACAACGTTCAACGATGGTCATATCGGATGGATCAGGGCACCATGGACATCAGTCTGTATGCTTCTGCACAGTCAAAGTGACGTTGAAGCATTTGGCTCGAATCTCTCTCAACTTTTTACCCAACTCTTCTTCCGGCATTGCAGTGGTAGTCTTGTCCTGATGACGTTGTATCCGGCCTTGTAACTGTAGGTCATCGCATTATAAGTTTCCCTACCAATAAAGGGCTTCTTGCGTAACCGCAGCTGCTGTGGATTACGGGTAGCAGTGATTAACGCTTCATGCGAAAACTCTCATTTGTTTCGATGATTTTCTCCTGGAAGACACGGAATAGAAGCTGTCTGATCACATACGCGAGGAAAGTAATACGTGGGATCGGTGCCAACAAATTGGCACGAAAGTGTCAAATCTTCTGGTTTACCCTTTGCCCAATGGGAAACGAACGAGTGCGAGGCTTCCTTTGAAAATCTCAATACGAGGAGAAAAATAAGCTCCATAAAATCTAGAGATATTTCTGTACGATTTTTCTTCTAAAGTGTTGTCACTCACAGCTGTTATGTCCTAGAGAGTGAACTAAACTACAAAGTAATACCATGCTCTGATTGCTGCTTTTTCAAGAAAATCTACATTTTTGGTAGTTTTTGGTTGTTTGGTAATCTAGATTTTGTACAGCGCTTATCTGTGACATAAAAACATAGAAACATGAAAACATAAGAACTAAATGTTTGAATTATAAATCCTAATATCAATTTTTTATAGAAAGATGAGCTAATTTTAACTTTCGCCATCCTTCCTTACTAAACAGTTTCGGGGATGACATAGAAAAACACAATACTCCGTCTAAGGCTAGGAACGAAAAGGAGTTCCTAAGTTATAATATTATAATCTTATATATAAAGCTGAATGTCTGTTTGTCTGTATGTCTGTCTGTCTGTCTGTCTGTCTGTATGTACGTATGTTCCGAATAGAAAATTCCATTTCTGAACCGATCCGGACCAAACTTGGCACACATACACTACGGGCCCCGGCGGGTGTCATAGGCTACTTTTCGTCATCGATCGATATCGATTTTATCGATTTTTATCGATTTTTTTGCTGAGTTCACCTACGGGGCTGGGAGTTGGCACAGGGGGGTAATCGAGCATGGGGATTCCGAATACAATATTGGTTTTCAGGATTATCGATTACTTTTATCGATTTTATCGATTTTTTTGCAAAGTTTGAGCTACGGGGCTGGGAGTTGGCACAGGGGGGTAATCGAGCATGGGGATTCCGAATACAATATTGGTTTTCAGGATTATCGATTACTTTTATCGATTTTATCGATTTTTTTGCAAAGTTTGAGCTACGGGGCTGGGAGTTGGCACAGAGGGGTAATCGAGCATGCTGATCACCTCCAAGGGGGGTGATCAGCATGCTCGATTACACTCCTGTGCCAAATTCCAGCCCCCTAGCTCAAATTTTCAAAAAATCGATAAAATCGAAAAAGTAATGGACGATCCTGAAAACTAATATTGTGTTCGTAATCTGCATGCTCGATTACCCCCCTGTGCAAACTCCCAGCCCCGCAGGTCAAACTTTACAAAAAAAATCGATAAAATCGATAAAAGTAATGGACGATCCTGAAAACTAATGTTGTATTCGGAATCCCCATGCTCACTTCCCCCCCTGTGCCAACTCCTAGCCCTGTAGGTGAACTCTGCAAAAAAATCGATAAAAATCGGTAAAATCGACATCGATCGATAACGAAAAATGACTGTGACACCCGCCGGGGCCCGAAGTGTATGTGCGCCAAGTTTGGTCCGGATACGGCGGAGCCGGGTAAGCCAGCTAGTTACAAATATAATAATTTATTATTATAATAATTACAAAAGCGCACTACTGTTATGAGGCAAAAGGGTCCGGCCGCTTCTTAATATGAATTTTTGCTATTTATAAGGTTGAAACTTTCTGTACCAGAAGTAAAAAACTTGTTTGAAACTATTGAGGAACCTGGTTCTGGTACATCGTATGCTTTTTGCTCTATACAGTATATATAATAGTTCCATAAAACTTTTGTTTGGAAGGTCAGAAATGAACTCAAATCGTGAATCTTCTTTGTAGGTTTCCTCTAATAGATTTCTCGTCTCTTTAAATTGAACCTTGAAATCAAAGTCAAAACTCAGTACTTGCAACCTTCACACATTTTTTGCTACCAAATAATGTAAAGGCTGCTGCATGACGAAGGCGCAAAACCAGTAATAGTTGGGCAGGCGCGAACGCCACGCGCGCATATATTCACCGTTGTAACTATTTTATTTATTGTGGATCCTGCGCCTCATGCGCTCTGCTGCTAATGTAGCCGCGTTCACGCCGGAAGATATTGCGCCTTCGTCATGCAGCAGCCTATATCTTCGTAGTACACTACAATTTTCCATTAACCACCCCGAAGAGTTGAATACTTCTTTGCATATTCGATCAAATTGAGTGACCTTGTTGGAACTGGAGATTATCACATTTCCAAAAATTCTTGATGTTCGATATCTCAAGCAAAGTTACTTGAATTCGTGCAGAGCAAAAGAATCTGGCTTTAGTGTAGAACATTGGTCATCTCATAAGCGGGGAATATTGTGATGAAAAAACTATTTTTTATTTATTCAAGTTACTATTTTAAGCTTTTAGTAACTTGAATAAGCAACCTAGCTTTATTTTTTGGGCCAGCATTGGGCCTAACTTGGGTTTTGTACTACCGAATTTGCTCCTTGCATCACGATTTCTTAGCAAAGTAATGGCTTTAAACGGCTCACAACTTCGTCCACATAGATGCTGAGCATGGAATACAGATTTGTAATTAGCGTTTTATCTTGCATCTAATGGCAAGCACTTGTAGGAATGTACGCTTTGGTCTCTGAACATTCCCATGTTGAGTGTTGATGGTCCTGGCTACTCTCAATCTTGCAACTTTCTAGCAAGTATCCACACTTTCCTTTCCAGAAGCATTCTGCGGACAGCGGAGGTAGATTTGAAGTCAGTGCTTCAACCTCGTAAAGAAAGCATTTCGTTGGAGGTACCACTTCGACTTCGCAACCTTCCCTTGCAAGAGCTTACCTTTCGAAAATTCGCCACACTGGGGCATTTTCTTTTACTGATAGTAAAAAATTTTGAGTGGTTGATATGTGATACCCTTAGAAAATTATAAGTAGGATACAACAAGCAAATTTTTAATGGAGATTTGTAAGAAAAAAACGACAAGCCAGCCCAACATTATGTATTAAGTGGGCCCAAAAGTTCCGTTTCTTAATCTGAAATCGTTCAGAAGGGTGATAAACAAATCCTTCAAACACTGTCCGATGCAGAATTTCTTCTTCTTCCCAGCATCTATCTTTCCATTGTGACAGTTTCGACGAGCGCTGAGATAATTGCCGAAAACTAGAATCCTTCATTTTTACCATGTCTAACCTTCGCAAATTTTGAGAATTTTTATTTTAGACTTCTAAAATGCTCTAATAAACACCTGATAGGGCAAACCTTTTGCAAATTAATGTAATTTTTTGCATCTCCCTACATCTCATCTCCCTGCTTTCTGGAATTACTAAAATATATTTTCTGAAGTGACCATTTCATATTTGGCTCATTCTAACCTCGCAAAACATCAGACATTGAACAATTTGGGTACCATTCGACGCATCTTCCTCTTCTTCTGACAGCTACCTTTCTTTCGCGAAGCATGCAACTTTTGCAGACAAAATCGCAGTACTTCCCAATTCTAGGAGTGCGCTAGATTGGAGCCGAAATATCAAAATCTATCCGTTTTCACGCCGTAATTGCTCATTTACTTCGCACTACTAGTGATATTAATAACCGAGTTTTGGGACTTCAATATTTTGAGAATTTCGCAGTGTTCGCAGTGTTTGGCGCATTTATGTGTTACATGACTTTTTCAAAATTCAATGTTCTAATAAGAAAATTCAGCAAACTTCTAAAGGAAGCTGAATAGATGCGAAAAATTGCATTAATTTGCAAAAGGTATGCCTTTTGGGTGGTTTTCACAGCACCTTCAAAAGTCTTAAATGAAGATTTTGAGAAATTGCAAAATTCAGACATGTTAAAAATGAAGTGTTCTAGTTTTAACATAGCTGTGGAAAGAGGAAGAACCTCTGCATCGGATACTTTCAGAATGATTTGTCTATCTCTATCTTGAACATTTGAAATAGATCTAAAAAACGGCACGAATTTTCGGACCCAGTTAATATTATACTTTTACTCTTTGCCACATATCAATAAACATTCATCGGTAGTATTGTTTAAACTCAGATCTCCCCGTCTTTCAAACGAACGGCGACCGCAACAGGATCTGTTCCTTTACACCACGGCAGTGTAAGATAATCCTTAAGAAAAAAAGAATGCTTTCATGTGTACATG